ATTATTAACCCGAACACGGAAATGCCTGTCAGTTAAAAAGTTCTTAAGGAAGGATAGTAGATTGCCTCGAAGGCTTAAGGAGTGGGCTTGGGCTAAAATATTATACCTCCAAGTTGTGTCATATGCCTTCTCAAGGTCAAAAAATATGGCAATAACTGAGTGGTTATTCGCAAAGGCATTACGAACATACGTATCCAAGCGTAGTAAGGGGTCTATGGTAGAACGTCCCTTACGAAAGCCATATTGACGAGTGGAGAGACTGTTGTGTGTCTCTAAATACCACACTAAACGTCTATTTACTAGGCGTTCACTTTGCAAACTGCACTGATAAGAGCAATGGGACGATAGTGGGAGGTTTCATGTCCCGTAGTGCCTGGTTTGCGGAAAGGGAGAACAATGGTGGATTTCCACAGCTGTGGAAGAACTCCTTGTGACCAAATAAGATTGTAAAGGCGTAATAGGACTGCAAGGGCTGACCGATGTAAATGTTGTAGCATACGAATATGAATGTCGTCGGGTCCAACTGCCGATGGTCGGCAAGCTGAGAGTGTTGCCTCCAGTTCTTGAAGTGTAAAAGGCACATTATACTGTTCTTCTCTGAGAGAAGAAAAGTCCAAGGGTGCTAACTCTCTGGCAGACTTTGAGGAAAGAAATGAGGGGCATAGATGGAGTCCCTGAGAAATACAGACCAGATGATTGCCAATTTCATTGGCAACATCAAGTGGGTTTGCTATATCAACACCGGCAACCCGCAGAACAGGAGCCGGGTCAGGAGAATATTTACCACTCAGTTTTCGTACTTTTTTCCAGACTGCACTCATAGAGGAAGCAGAGGTGATGGTGGAGACATAATCTCGCCAGCAAGTGCATTTAGCGTCACGGATGACACGGCGAGTGATCGCACGCTTCTGCCTAAAATCAAGAAGTCTCTCTGTGGTTCTATTGTGCTGGTACCTGCCCCATGCAGCGCATTTCAAACGTACTGCACGAGCACAAGCAGGAGACCACCAAGGCACACATTTCTGAGAATGCCTGCCCGAAGTTTGGGGTATAGAATGAGAAGCTGCGGTTAAAATGGAGGACGAGAAGAGGTGTAAAAGCTCATCGATGGAGGACGAAGAAGGAACCTCTCTAAAAACAGTTAGGTGTGAGTAAAGGTTCCAATTTGCCTGATCAAATTGCCAGCGTGGGATGCGAAGAGGTGGTGAATATGAAGGGGAAGTAAGAATGATTGGGAAATGATCGCTGTCATGTAAGTCCGGAAGAACAGACCAAGTGAAGTCTAATGCGGCGGAGGAAGAGCATACTGAGAGATCGATGCAAGAGAGAGTGTGAGTCCGAGGATCAAAATGGGTGTGAGTACCTGTATTAAAACATGGAGGGGGTGGGTGGCAAGAAAAGCCTCTAACTGAATGCCACGGGAATCACAGTAAGACCACCCCCAGAGGAAATGGTGGGCATTAAAATCACCAAGTAACAGAATCGGTGGTGGTAATGACGAAACAAGAAAGGCAATATCCGGAATAGATAATGCCCGAGAAGGAGAGATATATTAAGAACAGAGTGTATACCACCTATGCAAGTGGATACGGGCTGCTGTGTAATGCAGCGAAGTATGAACAAATAGCTGATGGTACGGAATATCAGTGCGTAGAAGAAGGGCACTTTCATTAAAGGTCCCATCAGGAAAAGGATCTGAAGAATACAATAAATTATAGCCTGAGATGGGAGAGATAACAGCAGAGTGTAATTTTGGTTCCTGTAAGCAAACACCAACAGGGGAAAACTGGGAGAGTAACATCTGAAGCTCACCCCGATTACCCGAGGCCGCGTATATTCCACCGTAAATAGGCCATGATTGGCAATGATAAAGATACCTGAAATCCACAGGTAAGGGTTCCTACGGACTAGAGGGGTTAGAAAAGTCCACGTGCAGAGGCAGTGGAAAACGTTCAAGCAGTGAAGGAACGGTGCGCTGTGAAGAAAGGAGTTGCGCAGATGGAGTAGAGGAGAGAGAAGGAGCGGAGGGTGGATCAGTGTCCATTGATGGTCTGGTCTCTGCAATATATTCAGAGATTGCTTCAAGTGTTTCAGAATTCAGAGACGTCGTATGGGAGACAATGTTGGAAATGGTAGGGGGAGGATGAGTAAAGATTGGAACTGTAATGGACTGTACCAAGGTAGGGGGAGGGCGAAAGGGTGGAGGGAACTGGTGAAGCGTGGAAAGGGACAGAAGAGGCTGAAACCTGAGAGGTGGCAGAAGAGGAAGAAACTTGGGAGGGAACAGGGGAGGAAGGTAGAGTACGAGGAGGAGGGTGAACCTCTACACTTGTAACAGAGCCAGTGAGAGGGGGAGAACCAGGTACAGAGACAGGGAAGGGAAAATGAGGAGGTGGAAAATGGGTAGGAGGTGTTAACGGACCTTTTTTTGACTTTTGAAAAGTAGAGGGACGATTGGGAGGAGGTGTCATACGAGATCTCGTCGCTACTGAGGTTTGTGAGAGAGAACACGAAGAAGCAAGATCAGACTGAGACGTTGAAGTAGGGACGTCTGAGCCGAGGACAGCAAAAGAATTAGCTACAGGAGTGACTATGGGAGAGGTAACCACAGAGGTGGGTGCAGAAGATGGGATACCAGAAGTGGGGGGACGTTTTGAAACACGAGAATAAGAAACACGAGGTAGTCTCCCTTGGAGGCGGAGATGAGAAACTGCCATGGCATAAGGGAGACCTTCTGCCTCTTTGAGGTAATGGATTTCCCGCTCGTTTAAGTAGACTTGACAACGGCGAGAGTACGAAGGGTGAGCCTCATGACAATTAAGGCAAGAGGGAGATCGATTGTAAGATGTATTAGAATGGTCATCGGCACCACAGACTGGGCATTCGGCGATAGATCTGCAATATTTCGCTGGATGGCCAAATTGCCAGCAATTTCTACACTGTTGCGGTGTAGGGATCACCTTTTGAACTTGTAACCGATGTCCTGCTACATAAACTGAGGATGGGAGTTCACGGCTGTCAAAAGTTAAACGAGCCACATTGCTAGGGTATCGTCTCTGCCCACGGGCAGGAAGAACGTAAGTGTCTACCTTGAGGATTGGGAGATCTTGGAGTTCCAGCTGTTCAAGAATGTCAGTGCCACATGTCTGGAAATTTTGTTGAACTGACTGACTCAAGAAATCGTAATGACACGATTGCAAACAAACCATACCCCCGGCCGGGATTGAACCCGCGGTCATAGAGTCTCAAAACTCCAGCCCGTGGCTAGCTGGTCTAGTGGCTAACGCGACAGGCTGGAGTTTTGAGACTCTATGACTGCGGGTTCAATCCCGGCCGGGGGTATGGTTAATTTTGTTGAACTATGGTATGGGGCAGAATGACGGTACCACTACAAGAATTGAGGGAATGATGCTTTTCAATAGTTACAGGAACAGTATCGATATCGGAAAGACGAGAAAGCTCATGAGCCTGGGTAGCATTCTGTACAGTGACGATGCGCATACCGCTCTTAAGAGCATGAAAAGAAATATCTTTACCAACATGGCGTAGGAGTGCCTTGCCAATACTGTGGTCAGAAAGATAGGCAGTAGAGGAAGTCGGTCGTAAAGTGAAGAATTTAGTCCATTGTGCAGTCTGAAACTGAGCGTGGGAAGGTAGTGAAGGACGTGTCGATCTTTTCTGAGAAGAACGAGAAGGTGGAGAAGTATCATCAGCAGGTAATTGTCGTTGTCGTTTAGGCGTGGGACCAGAGTTGGTCTGACATGGAACGGGCCAGCGATTTGAAAATTGCCGCACCGTAGAGGGAGAGGCCGGAAGCATAGTCAGAGGAGAGCGAAGGTCAGATAAATCGAAGGAGCCAGTCGAGGCCTCAGTACCTGAAGCGGGTGAGGAAACAGCACCGGCAAGAGGTACAGAGGCATGAGGAGTGTCCGAAGAGTGGTCCAAAGACGAGGCGGGGTCAGAACGGGGTGCGGTATCAAGAAGGGGCCCGGGGGTAGCAGGTTCATGGACTAGGGCTGCCATGGTTAGGTTACTTCTTTCTTTTTGTTTTTAAGAAAAAAAAAGAAAGAAGAAAAGAAAATAAAAATAAAAAAAAGAATAAAAAAAGGGGGGACCAGGGAGGGATAGTTCCTAGGAGGAATGAAAGGGCCAGAAATCTCCCTCCGCTCCCAAGAGGACCTCAGCACCGCAAGTAGCGCAGATGCAGCATGGAACCCGTGCCATACCCTACCCATCATGCCAGTAAACCGGCAATCCGGGATAGCAACCTCACATCTGCCGAGCTACCTTGGTGGACAAAAGAGAGGGTGGCCGGAAATCCGCCACAAAGCATACCTCCTTCGGCCACCACCCCCGGAATCCAAAAGGTGACTTCCAGAGATACACCCGTCGCCCGAGAGACACCCAAAGCCACCCTCCGGGATACCGGAGAGGGATCAGGACATCCCCAGGCAATCCAGATTCCAAGGCAAACTACGCCACCGCCAAGAACCTCAACGGAATGGGATGGACCCCGGTACCCTTTCCCCTACCTAGGAACTAGCGTGCCTGTGGGAAAAAAAAAAAAAAAAAAAAAAAAAAGGCCAAAAAGGAAAGGAAAAAGGGGAGGATGGAGAGAAGGAGGAGGAAAGGAAAAAGGGGAGGATGGAGAGAAGGAGGAGGAAAGGAAAAAGGGGAGGATGGGATAGGGAACGGGGGATTGGGGGGTAATTAGGTTCGGTCTGAGGAAGTAGACCGACAGGTCTAATTCCTCAGACCAAGAGCCTCTTCACCACGCCAAGGAGCCCCCCTTGAAGAGGCTCTTCATCATAACAAATTCAATTCTCACAGAAAAGAATTCTTCCTCTGTAATTTATGAGTGTTGTAAAAGGTGACATAAATGTTGAGAGCAAGGGTCTGGTAACCCCTTCTCTTTTATAAATTACCCAATTTAAAAAGAAAATTTTTTGTTTTTCTTTTTAGGTCACCCTGCGTTGGTGGAATATGGCCAGTTCATTGAAAAAAAAAATTCAGATGTGTAGAAGAGCATTTTGTTGTTATTATTTTCATAAAAAACAGCCAAACTTCTCAACAAACTGTTAGTGAGTCAAATTGTTGGAGTCCACAGCTATGTTGTGACTGAAGTCATTGAACATTTGAGTCGAGGCTGCTAACAACAATCACAATGTGGAGCATTTTTTTTGTAACCTATTTGGTTTTTGTGTTTCATTGGCAGCTGTTACATTATGAATGATATCTACAACTGTTATTGATAAGTATTGCAATTAGAAGGGAAAGACAGTATAATTAAAAGAAATTACCAGTAGTGACTCACTTTTTACCTGGAAGACACATTCAGCTGGGAGATGAAGGGAATGAGAGAGAGTGTAGGTTTTCTCGATTCAAAGTAGGATGAGCATCAGTTGAGGATGATGAATGCTCTGGTCATCCATCACCATCAAAAACAGATGGCAACATTTATAGTGAGGAAGGCCAGTTAAAAAATATATATGTATATGCATTATTATTATAATCAAAAAGAAGCGCTAAGCCACAAGGACTATACAGTATGTATATGCAAATACTAATAATACCGCAATAATCAATGGACTTAATAGTGAATAAACCCACTATTGCCTGGGTAAATACTTAAACCAAAGTAGGCAAATGATCAATATATCTTAGATGATCTTTAATGGTTGATTTGAAACACAGAATTTTTAAAATTTATTATGTTTAGAGTTGGGTGAAAACATTTAAAAGGACAATTTTTTCTCAAATATTTGATACAGGTACATGTATTAAAGTTTTGATTTGATACTATATATCAGATAGTTATTATATTCTATATTCTTAATAAAACATACAGTTATGGAAAAGTATACCTAACCAATGCACGATACCAAAAATTTAAAACAATGGAGAATTACTTCCTCTTATTATTACAAATGTGGAATAAGATACATTAAAACAATGCAAGCTTACTGTATTTTTAGCTATCAAACATAATGTAAAAGCTTTTCATAGTGATATAATGTGGAACAAAAAAAAACTGTGAGGGATTATCCTCATGACGTTGTTAACAACTTTCAACGCTATTCCTGTGATATGCTGCTGATGCTGATCACAATTACGGACGGATTTTGCACGGAGAACACCTTGCTTCGCAAACTGATGTGCTGCCGATGCTGATCACATTTGTGGATGGATTTTTCACCAGAGAACACCTTGCTTCACAAATTGATGTGCCGCTTATGCTGATCACAGTTAAGGATGGATTTTACTCAGAGAACAGTTTACTTCACAAATCGAAGTTGGACACGGTGAGGTGCTGGATGTTGTTACGAGCTGAAAGTTTTATACAAGATATTTTTTTTTATCTATTAATAAATTACTGTATATGAGGTTATTTTTTTATAACCATGATAATTAGCAGGTCCTTGGTAGTAGGATGGTAGACAGCAACCACAAAGAGAGGTACTACTGTTCTGCCAAGCAAGTGTGAAGTGGAAACCTGTAATTGTTTTACATTATGGTAGGATTGCTGGTGTCTTTTTTCTGTCTCATAAACACACGGGATAAAGGGTATATTTTGCTACATCTACTTATACTTAGGTCACACTACACATGCATGCACATACATTTATATACACACCCATCTAGATTTTCTTCTATTTTCTTAATAATGCTTCTTCTTCCTTATTTCTGCTTATCTCCATAGGGAAGCAGAAAAGAATTCTTCTTCCATAAGCCATGCAAGTCGTAAGAGGTGACTAAAATGCTGGGAGCGAGGGGATAGTAACCTCTTCTCCTGTATAAATTACTAAATTTAAAATGAAAAACTTTTGTTTTTCTTTTTAGGTCACCCTGCCTTGGTGGGATATGGCCAGTTTATTGAGAGAGAGAAAAAAAAAGTGTAACACTAGAACGTTTTATTAAAAAATATTTTGCCAACGTGAAGCTTTACCCATCCAAAAATTGGATTGATAAAGCTTCTTTGTCATTAGCATGAAAATTCTGCCTACACTTCACCATCCACAATGAATAAAAAATTTAAATTATGCTTCAAATCTCTATCACTCATGGCTTCTCATCCAGCATCTAGCTACTTTCACTCTTAACAAACCCATTTGCTTTCTCAGTTTTCTAACCTTATTTATCTCTCTCCAAAACTATTTACTGACAAAAACTCACTTTTTCATTTTTGTTTCTGCATTTCTTCACCACTAACTTAAATATATTGTTTCTTTTCTATATATCAGGTATATCAGTTTGACATTGTAAAATCATATCACATGCCAACCTTTCACTCATGATAACCATTCTAGAAACATAAAAATAGAGAACTCTTGTCTCACCATTCTACCAACAATATCTCTTTCCTCAACCACCTATTTGCCTATAATCACAGCAAACTTCTGCTATGGACTCTGATGCTGTATTCTAAAATCCATACAACACCTTTATGATATTACCTCAATTACTTTCCATCGCAACAGTCAGTCTTTCCCCAACAACTGCTTCTTACGTCTTGCTAATAATCTTTGTCTATTATTAATTTACTTTGACATTTTTTTTTTCCAAGATACCGGTCCTTTCCCACTGAGGCAGGGTGACCCAAAGTTAGTAATTTAAACAGAAAGGGCTACTAGCCTCTTGCTCCAGAGTTTCAGTCACCTCTAACGACATACATGGCTTACACAGGAAGAATTATTTTCCACTTCCCCACAGAGTTTTACTTTATCATCTACTGACATTCTTCTCATATTCTACCTTCCACTATTTATACTCCAGCTACCAATAAGGAAAAATAAAGACTTTAGTACTCTTCTAAAAACATGTACAGTACTGTATCTGCAAAGACCTACCCATTAACCTTAGCCAATAGCAAAAATAAAAAGCCAGCACATGAAAGACAAAATATTCAGTGCAATAACAAGCAAATGCCTTATCAACTATGATAAACTTACCTTCAAAATAGGTGGTATCCATGGCATCATCTGGTTGAGGGACAAATGGGGCTGGCATATCCCTCAAGTTGGGTAAATTGATGCAATGAAATAAGGAGCTTGATTTGATCAATTCAAAGTCTGCCCGTACTTTTGGATCAAAGGCCAAGAGCTTGTCTATTGTCTTGATAGCAGCTTCAGATAATGCCTCATCACCCTCTGGCCAGGGAATGTCTAGAATGATACACCAGGAATATTAAAGTTACAGGCCAACTTGTTGAAAAAAAAAACTTCTGTTCTTGCAAAATAAAAGATTTTATTTACAAAGTTTTTTTTTTTCAACAAGTCGGCCGTCTCCCACCGAGGCAGGGTGACCCAAAAAAGAAAGAAAATCCCCAAAATGAAAATACTTTCATCATCATTCAACACTTTCACCACACTCAAACACAGTGCCGGATTAAGAAATCTCCGGGCCCTAGGCTATTCAGATTGGCGGGGCCCCTTTGAGTTATGGGTAAGCGAAGCGACCCCTTCCAGCTTGGGGCTGGGGGGGGGGTCGGTGTGAGCCTGTTTAAGATCTAATTAAATACATTCTGGCTATTTAGATTAAATTTAAAAGGAAAGTACATCAAGACAACCAAAACCATTTACCAACAGCCATTATAACTATCTTGTTAAATCATGCATTTTAAAGAGAATAAACTCAAGACAGCATAGTACAGTGGACCCTCAACCAGCGATATTAATCCGTTCCTGAGAGCTCATCGTTAATCAAAATAATTGTTAGTCAAGTTAATTTTCCCCATAAGAAATAATGGAAATCAAATTAATCCGTGCAAGACACCCCAAAGTATTGAAAAAAAAAATTTTTACCACATATAGCCAGAGGGAGCATGGACACGGGGGTCGTCCCTCAGTTACTAAAAACAACAGACATAGCCCCACTCCACAAAGGGGGCAGTAAAGCAACAGCAAAGAACTACAGACCAATAGCACTAACATCCCATATCATAAAAATCTTTGAAAGGGTCCTAAGAAGCAAGATCACCACCCATCTAGAAACCCATCAGTTACACAACCCAGGGCAACATGGGTTTAGAACAGGTCGCTCCTGTCTGTCTCAACTACTGGACCACTACGACAAGGTCCTAAATGCACTAGAAGACAAAAAGAATGCAGATGTAATATATACAGACTTTGCAAAAGCCTTCGACAAGTGTGACCATGGCGTAATAGCGCACAAAATGCGCGCCCAAAGGAATAACAGGAAAAGTCGGTCGATGGATCTATAATTTCCTCACTAACAGAACACAGAGAGTAGTCGTCAACAGAGTAAAGTCCGAGGCAGCTATGGTGAAAAGCTCTGTTCCACAAGGCACAGTACTAGCTCCCATCTTGTTCCTCATCCTCATATCCGACATAGACAAGGATGTCAGCCACAGCACCGTGTCTTCCTTTGCAGATGACACCCGAATCTGCATGACAGTGTCTTCCATTGCAGACACTGCAAGGCTCCAGGCGGACATCAACCAAATCTTTCAGTGGGCTGCAGAAAACAATATGAAGTTCAACGATGAGAAATTTCAATTACTCAGATATGGTAAACATGAGGAAATTAAATCTTCATCAGAGTACAAAACAAATTCTGGCCAAAAAATAGAGCGAAACACCAACGTCAAAGACCTGGGAGTGATTATGTCGGAGGATCTCACCTTCAAGGACCATAACATTGTATCAATCGCATCTGCTAGAAAAATGACAGGATGGATAATGAGAACCTTCAAAACTAGGGAAGCCAAGCCCATGATGACACTCTTCAGGTCGCTTGTTCTATCTAGGCTGGAATATTGCTGCACTCTAACAGCACCTTTCAAGGCAGGTGAAATTGCCGACCTAGAAAATGTACAGAGAACTTTCACGGCGCGCATAACGGAGATAAAACACCTCAATTACTGGGAGCGCTTGAGGTTTCTAAACCTGTATTCCCTGGAACGCAGGAGGGAGAGATACATGATTATATACACCTGGAAAATCCTAGAGGGACTAGTACCGAACTTGCACACGAAAATCACTCACTACGAAAGCAAAAGACTTGGCAGATGATGCACCATCCCCCCAATGAAAAGCAGGGGTGTCACTAGCACGTTAAGAGACCATACAATAAGTGTCAGGGGCCCGAGACTGTTCAACTGCCTCCCAGCACACATAAGGGGGATTACCAACAGACCCCTGGCAGTCTTCAAGCTGGCACTGGACAAGCACCTAAAGTCAGTTCCTGATCAGCCGGGCTGTGGCTCGTACGTTGGTTTGCGTGCAGCCAGCAGCAACAGCCTGGTTGATCAGGCGCTGATCCACCAGGAGGCCTGGTCACAGACCGGGCCGCGGGGGCGTTGACCCCCGAAACTCTCTCCAGGTAAACTCCAGGTAAACATGAAATATTAATTTTAATACACACTAACTGAAGAAGACATGCACAGTTACATGACACTTACCTTTATTGAAGATCTGGTGATGATTGATGGGATGGGAGGAGGGGAGACCGTTGATCTTGTTAGTGTTTAGAAGGGGAATCCCCTTCCATTAGCACTTGAGGTAGCAAGTCTTTTTCTGGGGTTACTTCCCTTGTTCTTTTAATGCCACTAGGACCAGCTTCAGAGTCACTGGACTTCTGTCGCACAACATATCTGTCCATAGAGGTCTGTACCTCTCGTTCCTTTATCCTAAAGTGTTTCACAACATTGTCAGTGTAATAGTCACCAGCACGGCTTGCAATAGCTATGTGAGGGTGATTTTCATCAAAAAAGGTTTGCACTTTAAGCCACATTGCACACATTTCCTTAATCTTTGAAGTAGGCAACTTCTTCAATTTCTCTCTCCCCTCCTCCGAAGCAGTTTCCTCAGGTGTGGCCTCTTACTGTTGAAGATGCTCTAGCAGCTCATCAGTGGTTAGTTCGTCATTGTCCTCCCCACTAACCTCACCAATATGAGCACTAGTTCCAGGAATTTTTTCCTGTTCACCTGGGTGTTAGTCAACTGTTGTGGGTCGCATCCTGGGGGACAAGATTAAGGACCCCCAATGGAAATAAGTTAGACAGTCCTCGATGATGCACTGACTTTCTTGGGTTAACCTGGGTGGCTAACCCTCTGGGGTTAATCGTTTCTCGGAAATTGTTTCACGTTAAGCCACACCAACAACACTCTCTCCACATCTTCAAGTAATACAGCTGATGGTGGTGCAGCAACAACAACAGCTGACTGTGGTGCAGCAGCAGCTGCACCTTTGGCAAGAACAGCTTCCTTGATTGCCGTTTTCTTACCCACAATAGTAGCGATGGTTGATTGGGGTTTATTATACAACCTGACCAGCTCAGAGACACGCACTCCACTTTCATACTTAGCAATGATCTCTTTCTTCATCTCCATAGTAATTCTCACCCTTTTTGCTGTAGGGTTGGCACTAGAAGCTTTCTTGAGGCCCATGGTGACTTATTTTGCAGGTGCAATCACTACAAAGGCTGTGATAATATGAAATGTTCCAGTTGTTGTATGTTTGGAAGCGACCGCGGTGGCTGGCTGGCTTGTAAACCAAGGGGCAAGTGAGGCGCGCTCAGGCCAAAGTGGACGCGTATGGTACGGAACGAATAGCGCTGGTCGGGTTTTTAAGCACTAGTTGAGGCAAAATTTTTGTGTTAAAATGTATCGCTAGTCAGATTTATCATTAATCGATGCCATCGCTGGTTGAGGGTCCACTGTATTACTAGATTAGGCTATTAAAGTAGTGACATCATGTACCTATTATATTCAGCATAACCACTACAGCACTATTATTCCCTTTATAAATCACTGACCATTATTGTTATCATTGCATCACGCATAAGACTATCAAATCATATAAACTCAAGAAAGTAAAGAATTGTTTATATTCACAGGCACTTCTTAAATAAACTTTTTTCTGGATTTCATATTGGCAAAATCATCAATTATATTCTGAAAATCAATATTTCTTGTTAGATCAGACTCAATGGTCAACAAGGCTAGGTTACACAATTTGTCTTGGCTCATTGTTGAACGGAGCTGGTTTTTCACTCTTTTCAAAACAGAAAATGAACGTTCTCCTTCACAGTTAGTAGCTGGAAGTGTTAGGTAAAGGCGATACACTATGTCAACATTAGGGAAGGTTTCTGAGATACCTGCATTTCTTAAATGTTTCAAAGCAGCTGAGGGCGCACATTTTTCAGGTGGAGCTTTAATCTGATTCATATACCCAGAAAAATGAACTATTTCTTCAACAAATGTGTCCTGAACATCTGCTGAAAGGTGTTGTTGCAACTTTAATGCAGCTTCTCTCAATTCTGCATCTGGCATAGTAGAAATTTTGAACAGAAATCCAAACTTGTCATTGAGATTCTGGCAGATTTCTTTTCTTTTCACCAATTCTGTAATCAGTGAATCCAGAATGACGAAGTATGTAGCTGTCTTACATTTCTGCCTTGGTAGCAACACAATTTCATTGTCTGGCTCTTCAAAATTGCGTTTCCTCTTGCTTGACCGCTGATGATCAGCCCGGTAACTATAGTCTTTCACCAGCAGTTTAGCTTTCTCTTCAAACATTTCAAAAGCTTCATCATTGCAAAGTGAGCTTACAAATTCCACTAAGCCTGCATAGAGGTTAGCACAAGTGGCCATTTCAATTTCAATTTTCTGAAGTGTCTTGTTCGTGGCATTTAACCGTTCCAGTATACAGTCCCAAAGCACACAGAGTAAGGCCAATTCAAAATCTTCCAATTTTGATGCTAAGCTGGCTGCTTCGCTTCTTGTAGTTGCTGTCTGGTCTTCATCCTCTGCTATTTGGATCAAAGCAGAACATATTTCAGCAAAGCTGTTTTTCAAAGCATGTGTTGCATCATGCTGCGCTGAGAGCATACCATCCATGATCTTTTCACAGTTTCTGAATTTGCAAGCTTCCTATAAAACATAGATGACTTTAAACGACGACGACTTCCATCATCATAAATCCTTGCTGATTTCCTAAAGTCAATGTTCAGAGTTTGACTGAAGTTTTCTGCAATGAAAGCATTACGTAGAGAATCTGGGATTACATTTAAGACAAATCCTGTGGATGAAATGTCCGTTGAGACATTGAGAGGAGACACAAAAGAAGTAGATGCTGGCTGAGAAATAATGGAGGGAGGGCTTCCTGTATGATCTGACGTATCTGCAGATTCAACTGTACAGGTAACATCAGAAACTGTTTTCGTGAGCATGTCTGTGATCTTTCTGCAGCTTCCTACATCTTTCTTTTTCTGTTCTTCTTCTTGAATTTTCTTCTTTCTTTTCTGTGACCCACTCGCATAAGAACGTCCAACATCACGTTCACGAGATCCCATAATGAGGATGTATCACTGTCTGTAATCATGCAAATACAAATTTTTCATTATCAATTATTATTACTTTTTTAATTATTATTAATTTTTTTTTCTGTCAATTGGGGGGATATGGCCCTTGTAGCCCCCTTCCCTCTGGCTGTGCATCTAAAAATTCAAAACGTTACCAGAAAGGAGTCATATGCAGAACTTTTACCATAGATTAGGTTAGTGATTTGGGCTACGAATATTTTACTAATTCATCCTCCTTGATCTCCAATTTACTTAAACAGAAATCATACTGAGTCCAAGAACAATGGTATTTATATTACCATTTTCATAACTAAACTAATCATTATGTTTTGCATAATATATGGCCTACCACCATAGATAAGGACATGAGAATTAAAAAATGCAGGGACAATTTTCAGTTTCACCCAACCAACGATTTTCTGATGTGGCTTATGTGTTTCTGGGGAAATATGTAGTAAATTAATTGATGTTCTACATCACTTCCGTCACAACTTGAAAACTAAGCATTTGCGACAGAAGTGATGTAGAACATCAATCAATTGAGATCTGTTATTGAAATGATAAAGACTTAAAGACAGGACAAAGTGCTTTTGAAACCTACAAACGGAAGTCAGTTTGCGTGTTTAGGCTTTTCTTTATAGTATTTTTACCAAAAATGCGTCTTTACTGGTCCATGCGCCTTTACTGGTCAAGTAACCCTATCAGGTACCTCCCTTAACATTTAGAGGCGAAAACAAACATTTATCCATACACATCAATGTCTATCAACAACACTTCAGTTAATTTGTCACAGTACAAGTCTAGATAACGTGTAATTACTACAGAAAATTGGAGAGGAATCTCCCATACTCAGCCATTAGCGGGAAAACACAGCTGTTCTGATGTAAACAAAGGCGGGTTGAGTGTTGCCATCTATGGTTAGGTTTATTTATTTTTATTTTATTTTATTTCATTATTTATTTTTGTTTTGATTAATTTTTAAAAATCAATTTTATTCTCCAAACACTTGAACTTTTTAGGTAGGGACCCCTTTGGACTTGCACCATGTGCGCAGTCTTGGATGAGCCCCTGAACCCCTTGGACCGCGGGGCCCCCAAATGCACGGGGCCCTAGGCAAATGCCTAGTTTGCCTATGCGGTAATCCGGCCCTGGTCACACATTATCACTGTTTTTGCAGAGGTGCTCAGAAAACAACAGTTTAGAAGCATATAAAGATAGACAACAAACTGCCAATACTTCAATAATATATTCCCACAAACATGTATCATAGGCAACACTGTACTATGAAGACTTATCAAATATATAACATTTTTAAAATGTTTAAAAAAATGTTCAAAAGGCAAAAATGATGACAATCTGCAGAAACCTTAAGGAACAAAAAACATTATTAGTTTAGAAGAAACTCCAATTACATTTACAAAAAAAAAAGTTTTGTAAGACTTAAATCCACTTTATATTTAGAGATAATATTTTCTGAAGGGATTCTGGTAAGCTGATTAGCTGGACATGAGTCCTGGAGGTGGGAAATACAATGCCTGCACTCAAAAGGACGGGTTTGAGATATTTGCTGTTTAAAGGGACATATAAACTATCGTATCTGCGCACCTCTGCCAAGACAGTAATACCATAAATGATGGTGAAAGTGTTTCTTTATCGGGTCACCCTCCATTGGTGGGAGACGGCCAGTGTGTTAAAAAAAGAAATTCGTTTTTAACACCAGAGTGGCATACAGAAACAATATCTAAATGTACATAAATTAATCTTGTAAATGTTATTTGCACTACTGCACTATTTGTTTAATTAATAAATTCAGTAAAAGAATTAATATACTAAACACTATCTCAAAGTGATGTTACCTCGGTGAAGAATGTTATGAAACACAGCCTCAGGAGTTTCATCATTAAAAGGTGGAACACCAGTCATAAACTCAAAAAGACATACTCCCAGAGCCCACCAGTCTACCGGTGGCCCTGAAAGTCAGCAAAAAATAAGAAACAAAGAAAAGATAATAAGTTAAACAACTGATGTACAAAAAATATTAAAGAAATTAACATGAGAGAAAATGCACAAAAATGTATTTCCAAAGATTAGAAAATTTATAGCCCAGTAAGCTATTTCTTAAAGGTAGTAGGTTGGTAGACAGCAACCACCCAGGGAGGTACTACTGTCCTGCCAAGTGAGTGTAAAACGAAAGCCTGTAATTGTTTTACATGATGGTAGGATTGCTGATGTCTTTTTGTCTGTCTCATAAATATGCAAGATTACAGGTATGTCTTGCTACTTCTACTTACACTTAGGTCACACTACACATACATGTACACATTTATTTATACACACTCATCTGAGTTTTCTTTGATTTTATCTTAATTAGTTCTTGGTTTATACTTTTCCTTTTATATCCATGGGGAAGAGGAATTAGATCTTTCCTCCCGTAAGCCATGAGTGTTGTAAAAAGGTAAACTAAAATGTCGGGAACATGGGCTAGTAACCCTTTTCCAGTAAAGGTTACTTAAAAAGAATAGAAGAAGAAAATTGTCAAAAGTGGGAAGTCTGAATGTGGTGGATGTTGTGCAATGATAAGAAAGAGATGATTGTGGATGTTATGAACGAGAAGAAGTGGATGTCCTGCCTTTAAGTGAACAAAGCTGAAGGGGGTGGGAGAGTTTCAATGGAGAGGAAAAAGGGATTAGGTCAGGGGTTCAAATAGAGTTAGAGCTAAGAAGGTGTAGCAATAATGTTGGAAGGATATGCTATGGCAGGATGAGGGACTATAAATGTATTAATTCAAGGATTATGTGGAGTTTAATAGATTGGATGTGAAAAGATGTGGGTTATAATAAGCGTGTATGCACCTGGAGAAGAGAGAAGTGAAGAGGAGAGAGAGATATTTTGGGAAAAGTTGAGTGAATGGTGGGGAGTTTTGAAATCAGTGGGAGGGTAATGGTGGTTGGGGATTTCAATGCTAAAGTGGGTAAAATGTTTATGGAAGGGAGTAGTAGGTAAATTTGGGGTGCCAGGGGTAAAAGTAAATGGGGAGCTTTAAGGAGCTATGTGTGAAAGTGATTTGGTAATAAGTAATACATATTTTATGAAAAGAGGATAATAAATATACAAGGTAAGATGTAGCACGATAAATCAAGTAGTTTATTAGATTAGGTATTGGTGGATAAAAGGTTGATGGGTAGGCTCCGGATGTACATGTTATAGAGGGGCAACTGGATATATCGGATCATTATTTGTTTGTAGCTACAGTTTGAGTAAGAGGTAGATGGGGAAAAAGGAAGTGGACAACAAGTAAGAGGGAGGTGATAGTGTATAAACTAAGGGAGGAGGAAGTTTCGGGTGAGATATAAGCAAACTATTGGCAGAAAGGTGGACTAGTGCAAAGATGAGTAGTGGGGGGGTTGAAGAGGGTTGGAATAGTATGAAAAATGCAGTATTAGAATGTGCGGCAGAAGTTGCTGGTTATAGGAGGGTGGGGGGCAGGAGGAATAGGAGGAGTGATTTGGTGGAATGATTGATAGTAACGGGTGTGAAAAAAAGAAAAACGGTAGCTTATGAGAGGTTTTTACAAAGCGATAGTGTTGTTACTAAGAAGAGCAGAGTATTTGGAGAGTTAAAAGAAAGGTAAAGAGAGTGGTTAGAGAGTGCAAAAGGAGAAGCAGATGATAGGAGGTGAGAGAGGCACTGTCAAGAAATTTAATGATAATAAGAAAAAATCATTTGAGTGAGTTTTAACAAGTTAAGATAGCCTAGGGGAAAGTATGATTTGTCAGTTAAAACAGATGAGGGGAATTAGTAGATGGTATTAGGTAGATGGCGAAAATATTTTGAGGAACTTTTATGTTAAGGAAGAAAGAGAGGCAGTTAATTTCATTGCATGGTCTGGGAAGGTTACCAATCTTTTAGGACGTGAAGAAGGCAGAATGTAAGTGTGGGGGAGGTACGTGTGGCATTACGTAGAATGACAAGGGGGTAATAAAAGCAGCTGGGAAAACTGATGGGATCATGGACAGAATGTTAAAAGCAGGGGGGGCCCCCCCCCCCCACCTTGGGATATAGTGTTGGAGTGGTTTGTACTTTTTTTTAATTAAATGTATGAAAGAGGGAAGGTAACCTAGGGAATGGCGGAGTGAAAGTAATAGTCCCTTTATATAAAGGGGAAAGCGGACAAAAGAGATGTAAAAAATTATAGAGGAATAAGTTTAACTGAGTATACCAGGAAAAAGCGTACGGTAGGGTTATAACTGAAAGAATTAGAGGTAAGACAGAATGTAGAATTGCAGATGAGCATGGAGGTTTCAGAGTGGGTAGGGGATGTGTAGTCAAGTGTTTCATTGAAGCTATTATGTGAACAGTATATAGATAAGTATCGAAGTTTTTTTTTTCAACAGTTTTAATGTGCGAGTGTGGTATAAATGTGTTGTATGATGTTGAAAATATTTGCTTTTGGGGATTTTCTTTCTTTTTTTTCTGGGTCACCCTGCCTCGGTGGGAAGCAAGGCGACATGTTGGGAAAAAAAAAAAAACCTACTTTTTACTTATCTGTGCTATTAGGCAATATTCACCATCTTCCCATTGGCCATCTCCCAACGAGAGGGCAGGGTGACCCAAAAAAAGAAAAAACTTTTCACATCATTCAACACTTTCACCATCTGGGTGCAGATACCGAAAATGTGACAGTTAAATGTCACTCCAAACATCTACTATTTTTGTTTTTTTCTATCAAAACAGGCTGTATCCCACCAAAGCAGGGTGACACAAAATGATATAAAAAGGTGTCTCTTTTTAAATTAGTAATGTATACAAGGGGAAGGGTAGTTACTAGACTCTTGTGCCCGGTATAGCTTAAGACGGAAGGAATTTCTGTTCCACTTCCCAGGAAATTCTTCCTATTTTTTTTTAAAAAAACATCGTCGGTTGTTTCCAACCAAGGCAGGGTGACCCAAAAAGAAAGAAAAACTTTTATTATCATTCAACACTTTCATCATCACTCATACATAATCACTGTCTTTGAAGAGGTACCGAGATGCGACAGTTCAGATGTCCCTCCAAACTGCCAATATCCCCAACCCCTCCTTTAAAGTGCAGGCATTGTACTTCCCATTTCCAGGACTCAATGCCGGCTAACAGGTTTCCCTGAATCCTTCCACAAAATATTAACCTGCTCACACTCCAACAACTCGTCAGGTCCCAAAAACCATTTGTCTCCATTCATTCTTATCTAACATGCTCATACACACACTTGCTGGAAGTCCAAGCCCCTCCCCACAAAACCTCCCTCACCCCTTCCCTCCAACCCTTTTCAGGGGACAACCCCTACATGCCTTCCTTCCCTACAAAGTTATTTACTTTTCCAGTCATTCTTCTTTGTTCTATTCTTTCTAAATGACCAAAACCATCTCAAACAGACCCCACCCCCCTCTTCAGCTCTCTGACTATAATTTTACTAACTCCTCGCCTCCTCCTAATTTCCACACTACAAATTCTCTGCATAATATTTACACCACACATTGCCCTTAGGAATATAATTATTAATACCCAAAGAAAATAGGGCATCATAATTTCAAGGTGTTATTATTAAAAATTAAATGTTCATAACAGATTGGTTGGTCAATGAGAATAGGAAGTGATGATTACCTATATGTGATGCACTAAATCTGTGTGTAAGTCAGTGGAAGTGTTGGAAGCTCTATCCTCCATCTGGTGAAGAATCTGACACATGTGCAATATCTGGGTATCTGTATTTGTATATGTTTCCCCATCCAGTGGCTTTATCAATACAAGGACATAATGTGAAGACTAGAGCTATATACAGAAGATGAGGCAATCAGTCCTTCTTCACCAACTCCAAGGCTGAGAGACTGATTACCTAATCTTCTGTATATGTTCTTGTATTGTACTGATAAAGCCATTGGATGGCAAAAGTCTACAAATAAAGATACCCAGATGTTGTACATGTGTCTAATTTATCTGGTCCAGTATTGTATCTAGTCATGCACAAATTATTATGGTCTTTTTATTACTACACAGGTAAAAGTCACTTTGTGATGAAACACAATACAAGTGTTTACTCTCAGTGTATTCTAATCACTGAAGGAAAGATACCTGCTATGTCAATTCCCTGACCTTATTTCTAATTTCGAGTTACCAATCTTTCACTATGAAGCTGTACTTTTTCTCTACTACCACTATTTCTTTTATTGTGTGAACATTAATGTACTATCTAAATTTTACATTATATGAGAATATCAAGGATCAAACTACCCTTCATTATTTTTCCTGATATCTTAATCTACAATACTTCAGAAATGTATCTGTAGAGATAGATTTTAACAGAAGCTGATATTTATTTATTTCATCTGACACTATTTTAATGAATTTGTAAATGTCTGTAAATTTGCAACAACAAAAAAAATACTTGTTACACATTTAATGACTGATGAACCAACCATGGCCGAGATGTAACAGAAGCTCTTGTTGCTAAATAATCTGGAGACCCAGGAAGCGAGATTCAGGAGCGAGTTGGGTGTGCTCTATCCTGACCACTTTTTGGCGGCTCAGTAGCGGTTTGTCTGGTCAAACTCTTGCAGTGGTGTGCTAGGCACACTCTGTAAATATAATAATTTTTATTATAAAAATTCCCAGCTTGAACAAATATATAAATCAGGGGCTCTTGGCTGCAATAAAAACTGCATGGGTGCTGAGAAAGCTAGCCACCAACAAGACAAACAGAACTTGTTGTAAAAATGGTCAATACAATTCATCTTTATTTGTGAGTAAACCCATAGCATATACAAACTTTATTTATTAATGAGGTTGTAAACAAAGGACAACAAACATAGGGCCAAGAGAAGCCCTGGAATGCACTCAGTATTTTTTTCAATACTAAAAAGAAATCCATGTATATATATGGTTGTAACCAAATATACTTGATTAATGGCAGAAGCCTAATGGTAAACAGACTTTTATTTCATAGAAAAAAAAAGTGTCAAAATAAAAAGTAATAGTAGATCATTAAGATCATCACTGTATTATCTAATAAAATTATACGATTAAATAATTCAGAGAGTTAATTAGCAAGTACCACTGCAAACATATACACAACAGGTTAGCTGTTTAGCACACTGACTTACAAACTTAAACTCACGGTATTTCTTGTTGGGTATGGTAACTAAAGAATCGCTGTGTATGTTGGCTGTGTGATGGACTCACTAACAGGAGCAGTGCCAGGGTAATCCTTTACAACCATCTCCCTCTCCGAAACATCACTGCTCAAGTCACTTTCACTGTACCATCTGACTGGCTTGCAGCATCAAATTTGATTACTGTATTTAAATAGCACATCCAAAAATGAGTTAGAAAATATTCCACAACAGTAGATGAAACAGATGATAAAGCTAGATCAACCAGGCTGTGATAGATATTTATGGGTCAGTGGGCAACTAGCAATAACAGCCTGGTTAACCAGGCAGGCACCAGCCTGGCCAAAGGCTGGACTTTGGGAGTTAAAAAAATAAACTCTTGGAACTCATCAATGGGATATTCTATGGTATATGTTTTGGTTCACTTTAGACCATTATTAAGTCACAATTTTGTAATGATCAGGATTAAATCAAAATACTGTCTAGGTCAATCGTCAATTTTGTTTTAATGTTAATTATTTATGTTCCTTGGCGGAACAGGAGGACAACCAGGTTTTGCTCCAGGAATGGCCATTGCTACAATTCTTTAATGAAGAGCCTTTCATTATGAATGAGAGTGTAAATCTTAAAAATTCCAACACTGCAAAATGTAAGCTGAATATTTACAAAAAAAACCCTCAATTTAGTGGGTTAATAGGAAAAAAATGGTAACCAATTAAGCCAATGTCCAGCAATTTTGAGTGTTTAAAAAAAAAAAAAAAAAAAAAAAAAAAAAAAAAAAAAAATAAAAAAACATTAGTGGTAGCCTCCGGTATACAAATATAATGGAGTTTAGATCGAGAAATGAAAAAGGACAATATGGTTTCCTGAACACTACACACATTAATTCACACATAAGAGATGAAACTTATGACAACATTTGGGTCCAACTTGATACCATTAACTGTATGTGTGTATAGATCAAGTTTTAAGACAATTATTTTTAAACATAAAACAGAAAGGGGGGTTGACTATTTCATGAGTAAAAAGTATCTCGGTTTTATACGGAATAAATAATGTTAGAGAGTAGGGGGAATTCGGATCATTCTTTTTAAGTTACAAAGGAAGTTTATAGGCAAACATTTTATGCTCCGTACTGATGGGAAAACATTGATGAAGTAACAGGATATTAGTTTTGGAATTACAGTGGAACTCTGAACTTGAACTTAATCTGGTTCCACAAGGGCTGTTTCGAGTGCTGTCTGTTCGAAATACAGACAAAATTTTTCACACCATTTTTTTTTGGTTGGCTGTTATCACTAATCTTCGGTAAGGCCCCATGGGGGACTTATTTATACAAATATATAAAATAACACCAAAAAAATATGAAGAAAGAAACACAAAATAGTTACAGCAAAGTTCTGGCAGGTTGTGCCTGTTTTATTGAGTGCCGAGCAATTTGTTGACCAAAACAATGAATTCGATACTGAATTCTTCAAATACGGAGCTGTTCGAGTACCGAGGTTCTACTGTATTTCAGGTCTATTTTGTTTATTTGGATGACTCCTGACTATTAGTATAATGCTAAGGTTGTTAAATAAATAGGGAAGGAAACATTATTCTCTTACTTTATTTGCCGTATCATTAACCTGAATGTCCTTGAAGTGGTGAAAAGCTTCTCCAATCCCATCCACAGCACTTCTGGCATCATTTGCATATACACATTGTCTTTTATTTTCTCTGGAAACAAACAGGCAATCATAATGAGTGTTACATCTTTAATCCTAAAACACAATCTTCAAAATAGTTCACTTTATTAGGAAATACAAAGGAACAGGGGAGAGACCATTCCACCATCAAAAAACAAAGAAGTTATTATGAAATAAGTGCTAGAATCAACAAAAATGTTAATAGAAACAGTTAACACATACTCTCCATACAGTTAATTCGTCCTTATTAAAAATATCCCAAATCAACATACCTGCTTTCCCTATCAACAGCAGGAGCACCATGCATATAATTGGTGTCTTGAATACACCTCAATTCTGCCAAGGGACATGGACTCCTCCTAGTGTCTCGCTTTTTAGGGTTTTGACAGCAACCTGCAGAACTCTGAAAACTTCTTGTAAGGCCAGAAGGACTGACTGTTATCTTGCATATTTCGGTGGGTGGGCTTTGCATCTACTAGAGCCTATAGAGCATTTAATACCTCTGTTTGTGATGGTATTTTGAAAATTTTCCCACTCCTGATAGAGTAATGAAGGTGAATAATTTCTTTCAATTATGTTAATCATTTTCTAATTATGAGCTTGTTCCCTCTGTTCAAGGGAAACATTATCTGCTTGCACCGATATAGGAAAAATTTGATACTGCCTGAAGACAGTTGCAGTCTTACATGATGAATGAGAACTGCTTTCTGAGGACTCTGAGGTTCATTAATTGATAGCTTGCAATCAAGCAATGCTGAACATCCTTCAATAGTTGAAAAAGACAAGGTCTGCACCTTCACTTTTCCCAACATGGGGGTATGGTGAACTTGTGGCTATATCTCTGGTAATACAACCCTAGATATAGAAGGCAAATCAGAAGTGGGGCATCCTACAGGTGACATGTGATGTGTAAGCTGAGATAAGGCTCGTAATCTTGTATGGCACTTATTGGTAACAGTCAAGTCAGCATTTTCCAGCTCTGTGGCTGAGACAGGATCCTTTGGGACAAAAGGTTTGAAGATATCTGAGGTGCAAGATTCATTAGGAACTATGTCATCTAGGAACACATCACTGTATTCACTGGATGTATGAATCTGTTTTCTAATAATTAAGTGTGCTGAGGTTGCTATTGGTGAATGAGGCACTGGTATAGTGTTAATGCTGTTACAGTTTGTATGACATTTCTTTGGTGAACTGGTACTGATATTTGATGTATCTGAAGACTGCAGATCACCAGAGAGCTCCTCCTTGATTTCATCAAGACTGTTGTCTCTTGATGGATATACAGGCAAAGGGTAAATTCCACTCTCATGCCCATCACTGGGCAGAGAGACATCTCGAAAATCACTGGAGATATCTCCCTCTTTTGGAGAGTGGAATGGTAAATGAAATCTGACTGGAGACTACCTGGGACTGAATACCTGAGAAGTATAACCCAATTTACATAACATTACTTTTCTTATTATCACTTTCGTTTCCTTTCTAGGAAGTCATGTCACTGCAAAATCAATTCTTTTTTTTTCAAATCTACAAGATTTGCAGAAAACTGATAATGGACGGAGTCCTGAAATAGAAAAAGGTGTCTACATTAATATTATATGAAAAAGAAAAAGATTATACAGTGATTTTGTGTGGTGAGGTGAAAGTGTTGAATACTGATGAATCATTTTCGTTTTTGGGGATTTCTTTTTTTTGGGGTCACTGCCTAGGTGGGAGACAGCGAACCTGTTGAAAAAAAATAGTATAAGTTTTCAATACAAAGAACATTATCATCTGAAAGTCTGTTTAAGAAGAGAGGTATGGTGGCGAATGTTGCAAAAGGAGAAGGACTGGAGGAGGCAAGGTGATGTAGTCAGAGGGCAAATGTGTGGTGTGAATATATGCAGAAATCTGTTAGTTTGGGATTAGGAGGATGTGCGGGAGGATGACAAAACTATTATCCAGAGGGCTGAGAAGGGGTTTATGAGCTCGGATTTGGGCATGAAGGAGGATGTAACGAAATAGAATGACTCTCAAAGAAGTGATGAAATCTGTTGTGGAGGGAAGGAGGGGTAGGGGTTCGGCCGAGAAAGGTTGGAGAAATTTTTTCTTTTTTGGGCCACCCTGCCTTAGCAGGAGAACGGCGATGTGTTAATAAATAAAATAATGTCAATACATATTATTGAGTTAGTGCTAAAAACCACCTGGGAGTTGTACAGTGTTGAGATATGGAAGGTAACCAGGTTTGATTCCACGAGTGGAGAGAGTAACGCCAATTCTCTGATCAAGAACCATCCACCAGCTTCAAAAGAAACATCCATTTCAAGCATTTCATAAACTGCACGAATGTGAAAAAACTTCCTAGTCGTCCTTCAAAACAGCCAATTTACAGTAACCCCAGGATACAGTAAACGGGTGATGGAACCTAGTTGACAGTAACCCAGGTGATGTACCCTAGTTAACAGGAACCCAGGTGGATGGTTACCCATGGTTAACAGTAAACCCCAGGTGATGGTAACCCCAAGTGACAAAGGTGAAAAACCCCTCTAACATAAATATTAATAACCACCATTATCAAACCTTGTCTAGTCAAAAATACTCAAAATTATGTCAACATAAGTTTCATGTTAGCAAAGGACTCTTTTTATAACTTTACTAAATGTAAAAGCTGAAAGCTTCATGTAAGGTTTTCTTCTTTTTTTGAGTTGCCTTGCCTCAGTGAGAGATAATAAAATAGTAATAAATAATATAATTTTTTTTTTTTTTTTTTTTTTTTTTTTTTTCAACAGTCCGGCGTTCTCCCACCGAGGCAGGGTACCAAATACGAAAGAAAATCCCCAAAAAAGAAAATACTTTCATCATCATTCAAACACTTCACCAACACTCGCACATTATCTCGTTTTTGCAGAGGTGCTCAGGAATACAAACTGTCTAGAGAGCATAAACTATAAAGATACACAAATATCCCTCCAAACTGCCAATATCCCAAACACCCTCTTTAAAGTGCAGGCATTGTACTTCCCATTTACCAGGACTCAAGTCCGACTATATGAAAATAAACGGTTTCCCTGAATCCTTCACTAAATATTACATGCCTCACACTCCAACAGATCGTCAGGTCCAAGTCCATTTCGTCTCCATATCACTCCTATTAACACGGCTTCTCGCACGCTTGCTTGGAAGTCCAGCCCCTTACCCACAAAAAACCTCTTTTACCCCTCTCTCCAACCCTTTCGAGGACGACCCCTACCCCGCCTTCCTTCCCCTATAGTTTATATGCTTTCCATGTCATTCTACTGTGATCCATTCTCTCTAAATGACCAAACCACCTCAACAACCCCTCTTCTGCCCTCTGACTAATACTTTTATTAACTCCACACCTTCTCCTAATTTCCACACTCCGAATTTTCTGCAATAATATACACCACACATTGCCCTTAAACAGGACCCTCCCGCTGCCTCCAACCCTCTCCTCGCTGCTGCATTTAAACCCCCCAAGCTTCACACCCATATAAGAGTGTTGGTATACTATACTTTCATACATTCCCTTCTTTTCCCCATAGATAACGTTTTTTGATCCACATATACCTCAACGCAACCACTCACCTTTTTTCCTCATCAATTCTATGATTAACCCCATCCTTCATAAATCCATCCGCGACACGTCAACTCCCAAGTATCTGAAAACATTCATTTCCCCATATCCTCCCCCCCAAATTTTGTACCCAAAATTTTTTTTTTAAAATAAAAAAATAAATTTGAAAACCCCCTAAACCTTCTCTTTTCAAGGTTCACTTTTCAACTTTTACCTTTACAAAACTTTTCCCAAACTCATCCACAAAACCTTTTGAAATTTTTCTTTAAAAATCTCCCATAAGCACAGAAATCTTTCACAAAAAGAAACCCTGTGTCAATTCCCTTTTTGAATTTGTTTCCCCATAATTTAACCCCAAACCCCTCCCCAAAAAACCCTAGTTTTTATTTCCCTTTTAAACAACCCCTTAAAAAAATATATTAAACAACCAGGGTGACATTACACACCCCGTTAAGACCTTTTTTCCCCCGGGAAGTAGTCCCCCCTCTCTTCTACAAAACCCAAACCCTGAGCCTCACTCCCCCAAAAAAACCCCCCCCTTTACAGCATTTAATAACTTACCACCTTTTTAAATATCCCTTGCAACATTTTCCCCACTTTTGCTCCTCAAATCCATTTCTAAAAAATTTTCCTTTCTAAATCCAAAAAATGAAAATAAAAAATTTTCCCTATTTTATCTAAATACTGTTCACATATATTTTTTAAAATTAAACACCTGATCTACACTTTCCCCAACCCACTCAAAAAACCTCCTTGTAAAATCCGCAATCCAAAATTCTGTTTCCTTTAAATTCTTTAATTATAACCCTACCTTTCCCCCTTTTCCCCTGGTATACTAAGAAACTTATTCCTCTATAATTTTTACAGTCTTTTTTTGTCCCCTTTCCCTTTATATAAAGGGACTATACATGCTCTCTGCCCAATTCCTAGGAAATTTCCCCTCTTTCATCATTTTTAAAAAAAAGTCCCAACCACCCCAACACTTTTCCCCCCCCCTGTTTTTAAATTTCTGTCATGATCCCATCATTCCAGCTGCTTTACCCCCTTTCTTTTACTAATGCCTCACGAAACCCCCCCCCCACTTCATTTTGCTCTTCTTCACCCCCTAAAAAAATGGTATACCTCCCTGACCATGAAATGAAATTATGCCTCTGTTTTTTCCCTTTAACTTTAAAATTTCCTCAAAAAAATTCCCTCGCCATTCCCCAAAAACCCCCACCCTCCCCATCAAAAAACCCCCCCTACTCTTTTTTTAAAATGACAAATCCATTTTTTTCCCAAAGGTTTTTTAACTTGTTTAACTCACCCCAAAATTTTTTCTTATTTTATTAAAATTTTTGAAGTCCCTCTCCCCCTTCTTTTTGCTCTCCTTTTGAAACTCTCCACCACTCTCTTTACCTTTTTTTTTCCCCTCTCCAAATACTCGCCTTTTAAAACCATTCCTGCTTTGTAAAAACCTCTCAAAAAGCTCCCTTTTTTCCTTTTTTTATCACACCCTTTACTTCATCATTCCACCAATCACCCCCTCTTTCCTCCTGCCCCCCCCCTCCTTTTTCCCCCCCAAACTTTGCCCCCATTCTAATACTCTTTTTTAAAAACCCAATTCCCAAACCCTCTTCAACCCCCCCCACAATCATCTTTGCACAAAGCCCACCTTTCTGCCATAGCCGCTTATATCTCACCCAAACTTCCCCCCCCTTTTGTTTTTCCCACTTTCACCCCCCTTTCCTTACTTGTTGTTGCCACCCCCTCTTTTCCCATCTACCTTTTTCTCTAACTGTAGCTACAACTAAATAATGATCCGATATATCATTTCCCTCTAAAAAAATGTACATCCTGGAGCCTACCCATCAACCTTTTATCCCCCCAATAATAATCTAAAAAAACTACTTTTTTATTTCGGCTACATCATACCTTTTATATTTTTTTTTATCCCTTTTTCTTTAAAAATTTTAAAAACTTATTACCAAATTTTTTCACAAAATGCTCCATTAAAAAGGGTTCCCCCTTTAAATTTAACCCCCGGCACCCCAAAAATTTTCCTACTACCCCCCCATAACATTTTTACCCCCTTAGCATTAAAATCCCCAAAACCCCCCATTACCCTTTACACTTGATTTAAAACTCCCCCCGCATTTACTCAAAAATTTCCCCAAAAATTTCTCTCTCCTCTTTCATTCTCTTTCTCCCCCGGGGCATACACGTTATTATAAACCCCCTTTTCAATTTCCCCAAACTTTTTTTTACTCCCCATAAACCCTTTAATTAAAACATTTATAGGCCCCCTTTTTCCCGCCCTTTGCTTTTCCTTCAACTTAAATTGGGTATCCTTCATTTTGCTCTAACTCTATTTTTTAAAACCCCCGACCTTAAAACCCTTTTTTTCCCCCTCCACTGAAACTTTCCCCCCCCCTTCGCTTTTTTTCACTTAAAACCAGGACATCCAGCTTCTTCTCATTCATAACATCCACAATCATCTCTTTCTTATCACTGACAAATCCAGCACATTCAGACTTCCCCCTTTGACCCAATTTTTTTCTTTTTATTCTTTTTGTAATCTTTACAGGAAAAGGGGTTATCCCATTGTTCCCGGCCCATTTTATGACTTTAAACACCTGTTTTACGGAGGAAAAAATTCCCTTTTATTCCTTTCCCCATGGAAAAAAAAGAAAATTAATGACCAAGAAAAAAAAGTAAAAAAGAAAACCAGGGGTGGTAAAATAAGTACAGTTTTTTGTAGGTGCCCAAGTGTAATAAAGTCAAACACCCTTAACCTTTGCAATTTATGAACAACAAAAAGAATCCAAATTAAATCATGAAAAAACAATCAAGGTTTCTTTTTAATCCTTTGGGCAAGGAGGTAAAACCCCTTTTGTTTAAAAAAATTAAAATAATAAAAAATAATAATAAAAATTAATAATAATAAAAAATCTTTATTTACATGTAAAAGGTATACAGGCTAGCTGACAGCAGTGACATACTATATACAAAAAGCTGCTTGTTATGTGAGCATTTTGGGCAAATTAGGTCAGTTTTTCCAAGGGCGACCCACACCAGTCGACTAAATCAGGTACCCACTTTATATTAGGGGAAAGTTATATTGGGGAAGGGGGTATGGAGCGGTCCATACACAGCTTTAAGAGAGGATGATACAGCGCATGGAGCAAAAAAGGTGAGCCAGTACAAACCAGTGAACAGGCGGGGCGAGAGCTTTGACTCAACCCTGAAACCCCACAACTAGGGGGTAAAAACTAGGTGGGGGGACAGCAGGTGTTTTAGGAAACACGTCCCTAATATTTCCGCCGTCCCGGGGAATTGAACTCCAGACCTCATGTGTGAGCTGAGTGTGCAGCAATCAAGCTAGGGACACGGATTTTAAAAAAAAAAAAAATTTTCCCCTGTGTGGTAATTTGTGAAAGCAAAAAAAAACTTTTAATAAAATAACAAAATATTAATGTTGAAGATATTATTTAAGATCAAAAAGGCCCCAACAGAGCATTTAAAAAATGCCAAATAAAAGTGAGAGAGTAAATTTTGGGAGGGGACCCGAATGCTAAAGTAGGAGAAAACTTTTTGAGGGGGTGGGAGGTAAAATTGGGGTCCAGGGTAAATGATAATGGGAGCCCCTTTTATTGAACTTTGTATAGAAAAGGGGTTTTTTTATAGTAAAACATATTTTAAGAAAAGAGGATAAAAAGTATAAAAATATGATGTAGGGCCCAAATGCCCGTAGTTTTTTGGATTTTGTTTTGGGAATAAAAGACTGCGAGTAGACTTCAGGATGCTGTTTTTAGAGGGGCCACAGATATCGTCATTTTAGTTTTAGTACACTGAAGAAAAAGGTAGAGGGATACAAGGGGAATAAAGCATCGGGAAGAGAGAGGGGAAGGTTTTTAAAAATAAAAGAGGAGGGGAGTTTAGGGTAAATAAAAACAGCTATTGGAGGATAATGGGCAAATGAGGCATAGGCAATGGGGTCGAAAGGTTGGGGAGGATTAAAAATGTAGTGTTAGAGTGTTTTAGCAGAAGTTTGTGGTTAAAGGAAAATGGGGGAGGGGCATTGGTGGAATGATGGTAAAGGAGTGTAAGGGAGGGGAAAATTAGCATATGAGAAGTTTTTACAAAGTAGAAGTGATGAAGGAGGGAAAAGATATGGAGAAAAAGAGAGAGGGTTTAAAAGGTGGTGAAGCAAAGAAAAAGAGAGAAATGAGAGAGTGGGTGAGATGTTATCAACAAAAATTTTGTTGGGAAAAAAAGAAAAAGTTTTGGAGTGGGTTAACAAATTAAAAAACCTAAGAACAAATGGATTGTCAGTTAAAAATAGGAGAGGAGTTATTAAATGGAGAGTTAGGGGGTATTTGGGGGGGTGGGGGAATATTTAGGAATTTTTTAAAGTTTATGAAAATAGGGAAGCTGTGATTTCGGATAGGGGAAGGAGGAAAAACTCTTGTAGGAGTGAGGAAACCATTGTGATGTGGGGGAAGTTTGTGAGGCTAGGAAAAAGAAAAGGGGGGGGGGGCAGCCCCGGGTTGATGGGATAAGATAGAAAAGTTTAAAAACAGGTGGGGATATAGTTTTGGAGTGGTTTGGGAAAAAAATTTTTTAATAAATGTATGGGAAAAGGGGTAAGGTACCTAGGGATTGGAAGAGCATGCATATTTCCTTTGTAAAAAAGGCAAAGGGGTAAAGAGAGTGCCAAAAATTATAGGGGGTAAGTCTGTTGAGTGTACTGGTAAAGTGTTGGTAGAGTTAAAATTTGAAAGAATTAAGAGTAAGACGGAGAATAGGATAGCAGATGAACAAGGAGGCTTTAGGAAAGGTAGGGGGTGTGTGGACCAGGTGTTTACAGTGAAACATATAAGTGAACAGTATTTAGATAAGGCTTAAAGAGGTCTTTGTGGCATTTATGGATTTGGAAAAGGCGTATGACAGGGTGGATAGGGGGGCAAGTGGCAGATGTTGCAAGTGTATGGTGTAGGGGGTGGTTACTAAAAGCAGTGAAGAGTTTTTACGAGGATAGTGAGGCTAAGTTAGAGTATGTAGGAAAGAGGGAAATTTTTTCCCAGTAAAAGTAGGCCTTAGACAAGGATGTGTGATGTCACCGTGGTTGTTTAATATATTTATAGATGGGGTTGTAAGAGAAGTAAATGCGAGGGTCTTGGCAAGAGGTGTGGAGTTAAAAGTAAAGAATCCCCACAAAGTGGGAGTTGTCACAGCTGCTCTTTGCTGATGACACTGTGCTCTTTGGGGGATTCTGAAGAGAAGTTGCAGAGATTGGGGATGGGAATTTGGTTTTGGGTGTGCAAAAGAAGAAAATTAAAGGTGAATACAGGAAAGAGTAAGGTTATGAGGATAACAAAAAGATTAGGTGATGAAAGATTGAATATCAGATGAGGGAGAGAGTATGGAGGAGGTGAACGTATTCAGATATTTGGGAGTGGACGTGTCAGCGGATGGGTCTATGAAAGATGAGGTGAATCATAGAATTGATGAGGGAAAAAAGAGTGAGTGGGGGCAAATTAGGAGTCTGTGGAGACAAAGAACTTTGTCCCTTTGGGTGCAAAGAGGGGAATGTATGAGAGTATAGTTTTTTTCCAACGCTCTTATTTTGGGTGCGAAGCATGGTGATGAATGTTGCAGTGAGGAGGGAAGGCTGGAGGCAGTGGAGATGTCATGTCTGAGGGCAATGTGTGGTGTGAATATAATGCTGAGAATTCGTAGTTTGGAAGTTAGGAGGAGGTGCGGGATTACCAAAACTGTTGTCCAGAGGGCTGAGGAAGGGTTGTTGAGGGGGTTCAGACCATGTAGAGAGAATGGAGCAAAACAGAAAGACTTCAAGAGTGTATCAGTCTGTAGTGGAGGATGG